TTTACGATTTGAACGATTTAAAAGCTAAAGTACATCCAATTATTTGTGTACTTTTATTTATCTATTTCATAAATATTTACTACTTTGATTGAACTTCGCTTGTGCGTCTAAATTAATTCTACGTTTTAAGTATCAATCTAGATAGATAGTGGAATGTATCAGTGTAGAGAATAGTAAAATGTTTCAATATTGTCAGGTAGTAGAATGTATTGACGTATAAAGATAGTTGATAATTTCAATATGGATAAAGAGGTGAAACAATATACCCTCAAATGCTCGATGCATCGTTATAGATAACTTGACAACCCTTAAATAATGTATTGGCGCTGACTGATTCTCTAATTGACGTGTGGCATTCCTTGGATCGACGGTTAATTGATAAATGTTTTATTTTTCAGTAATTTTTCAATAAATAAATAAATAGATAGATAGATAGAAATTTTGTTGGCTGCCTACCTACGCGATGCAGTCAGTCTTTAAAATTATTTTTGGATAATCTTCTAATAGTGCAAGGAGCGAGCAAATATTTGAATTTGTTTCTGCGCATGTTCGCCTGTCGTGCGTGCGTGCTGGTTGTCTCTTGTGAAGTTTGAGAGATCGAGTGTTTATTTGATCTACTCCTTAATGGTGTTTGACTTCATCTCAAATTAAAAATTTAAAGCAACACTTTTTTTAAACTAATTGAACAAACATTTTAAACGACTGCATATTTGTCTTTCTGTTAACTTTATGACACTGCAATGATATCAACTGAGCGATTGGTGGCTGGCGATCGGCGACGCCAAACTTGACTCGCAAATAAAGTTGTCTGGAATGTAGTGAAACAAAAAAATGTTTGTTTCATGTTTTAAACAGTTGGAGATTAAAAAAAATTTGTTGAAGTTTATTTAATATTTACGATTTATATGCTCAATTTTAACGCAACTTCAAAATTTTTTGCAATTATTCAAAGACACGAAACGAAAACGCGCATACAAATATGCGCTACTTAACCAGCACATATGCACGCCAACAAATTATGTTTCATTCACAGACGCACATGCCTAAAAATTAGGAAATCAATCATTCAAACAATGAGATGAAGTGTGGTTTTGTGCTGTACATTGTGTTGTGTAGTAATGTAGTGAGCTGCGTGCCATCCATTCGCTACTAATTGATCAGAACTGTTAACGCACGCATACAAACCATACAAACACGTGTGATATGCACGTGATAGGTTTGCTCTTATCGGCCAGAAAGTGCAGTGCATATCACACTAAATTTCATCATCTTCTATCTTCTCCTTCACAGACGCCAACGTGTACACAGACACGGATGCAATTTTTTGACAATTCCTAATAGTACGCACGCCTGTCTACGTGTAAAGTTTTGTATCGTTCCAGTTCAAATATTTTTAATTGCAAAATTTTATTTGCAACCGATTGCTCTTGATTTGTTGACGAAATCCTTTTCATGCGTGCCTTTGCATGTGCGTGTGCATACCTGTGCTCACATACATTCTTATTCTTAATGTCACTTAATGATATTTTTTCTCTATTGTCTCGACAAACAGGAGACAGTGAGCAGTTGAAACCGGTTCTTTCACATCACATAACATAACATCATCTCACCATTACATCGCATTATTTATTTATTTCAATCTTGTTACTGGTATTTCTTAGAGGTATCAACAGCCACAAGAAACACACGGTGCATATAAATACATGTTAATTAATCAGCTCTCTTATATTGCAGTAGATATGATGTTCATCTTTTAAACCTTCCCTGCATTCAACAATAGTTAAGGTAGGTAGCTGACTCATTCCAGGTACCTTAACTATTACACCATGAGGCCTCACGTAAAATCACGCATCATCGCATATATCATCGCCACATCACTTAGCAACAATCGTATTTAAGATACCAAGAAAATATTTCAACTCATTTTATGTTTCACTCTATAAAAATGAGAAAAAAAAACTAATAACAATGTACGTTAGTAACAAAAATATTGCTAGCATAATGATAATAATAATAGCAATAATAATAACAATAAGTAGTATTGTTAGTAGTTGTTGTAGTAGTAATAATAGTAGTAGTAGTAATAGTAGTAGTAGCAGCAGCATGAATCAAGTAGTAATATGGATCATTTTTATACATTATCAAATCACATAATTTTCATATATAACAATGGATAGTTAATTAAAAATGAACAATAACTCATATGTTTAAAACAAATAAATCCAAATATTAAAATAATAATAATAATAATAATAATAATAATATCAATAATAGAACAACTAACATCCACAACCACATAGTTATACCAACAACAGCTGCTGCCGTGGTGCTGTCAAAAACATCAACAATAATGTCAACTTGCAACCACGATCGTAGTAGTAGTAGTAGTAGTAGTAGTAGTAGTAGTAGTCGTCGTCGTAGTAGTAGTAGTAGAAGTAGTCGTAGTAGTAGTAGTAGCAGCAGTAGCGATAGCATTGTAGTTAACAGTAGTTGTAGTATTTCAGTTATTGTTATTATTGTTATTATATTATAATTAATTATCAAACACATTGAAAAAGAAATATCGCTTTTTGTAAATCTCTACTGCATTGAACAAAAAAGCAACGAGCCATCATAAGAATTATTATTATTATTTTATTATTATTATTTTGTACACATGCACGTACACAGCATGTATATACAAGAACATATATAGTATATACACATACACACTTTTATAGACACACGCATACATATATACTCATATACATATAAGTATGTATAATTACTCATATTCAAACGTTATAAGCATATATATATATTCATATATGTATATATATATATGTATATGTATATATATATATATACCAATACATATATGTATACAAAAAAATTATTAATACATTACATTTTTTCATAAAAATATTGCTAGATTTGTATTATACCTACGTTTGAGAACGAGCTATACGAATCAATTGAATCAAACAAAAATATTTATATTTCAAAATAAAATTTAACGTCCAAAATTAAAATGAATAAAATCAATTATACATAACGTGTATGAGTACAACGTGCACAAAGAACATGTGTGTGGGTGTGCGTGTGTGTGTGTGTGTGTGTGTGTGTGTGTGTGTGTACTTGCATCATATGATGGGGGTTTGAATAACTATCAAACTCTCTTATGAAACAAACGCATTTTAATACATGATAAATGTCATTTGATAAACATGGGAATGGTTCTTCACAATGGAAGAACAAAAATAAACGTTTTCAAATAAGAACCAGGATGAACCATTGTGAACGTATGTAAATATTATCTGAACTAAAATTAACAGCATGTAGTTATTTTAATAAATTGATGAAAACTTGTTTTGAATTGCACTAGTGACTTCATTTCGTTTGAAGCACACGTGAAACAATTAATATTGAAAACAATGACAAGTATATGTTATTTTATGAAAATATATGAACGCAAATAAACAAACCAGCAACCAGTTTAGTATCAACTAATGCTAATTTTAATATATATATACATGCAGACCACATAATTATATTTATATAAAGATATTTCATAATAATATGCTTGGTTATAAATAGCTAGTTGTGTCAGTGAGTTACTGATTACTGAACTACCGTCAACACAACTGCATCTGATTATGTAACAAGATGTTTTATTCTATCAGCGAGTCGTCTCAACTCAATACAAGCTTCTTTAAATCACAGATCTGTGTTTGAATTTGAAGCTTCAATTAATCTGCTAGCTGTTGAGTGCTTGTCTGAATGTTGTATACTGCTTTCAATGGAGAGAGCCAGCACACAACTGTACACAGTACACATACAACATGTATATGTAATACTTGATTAACATGCATAACAACGTGAATAATTTTTATACGAAATAAAAGAATTATATATTGTTGAACCAAGTTATGTAACATTTTGAAATTATTTATTATAACCAACATATACTTATTAAAAAATTTCACTTGGACACTTAAAAACTCAATGTGTCAACAAAGCGAAAAAAATTTGTTTTGAAGCATAAATTTTTTCTAACGAAGATGTTTTCAGTGTACATCGATGCACATGCCGGCATGTATAACTAACTGCATGATGGTGTGTGACCCCATCCTGCCAACCAATCCGAACGACCCAATGATCCCAAAGCTGAGTGAAAGTGTGGATGTCTAATTCACGTGCAGACGAATGCAAATGCAAGCACGGATGTGAAATGTTCCAAAGTGAACAAACGAACGCCGTGGGAACCTCATGGGAATGAAACGCACAAAAACGAATTGGGATTTTTTTATGTGGAATCCTCTGGAATGCTGATGCAAATATCGAAAGAGGATAAATGCATATAAATCTCTACATTTATTTCAACGAAAATAAAAGGTTCACACCAACATAAACAACTTGAACTTTTGCATAAACAAACGAGCTACAGAGATGCTACCCAAACGTAAAAATAAACCTAAACAAACCTAAAGGTAAAAGTGCATAGTTGTATGTTCACACACGCTCAAATATATAAACATTTAATGATTCGCTATAAACCTAATAATTATTGCGCAAATTATTAAACTCACGAACGCATGCATCATACGAACACTCGCACAGTGTACAACACATACACTATACAGACACAATCAGTGAACAGAACTTGAATATAACACCTAAAAACATACTAAATAATAAGAACGACGAACACGTGAACAAACATTAACACGATACATTCAATCTGCTAATTAAAAAAGCCAACAAAAACCAGAGCATCATCACTTTAGCTCAATGACGCCAATCTCAAAAGCATCCCCTCCCCTGCCAACTTTCCTTCTCGGACTTTCGAGCCCTAGTCCTCCGACATTGCAGATGCCATCTTCGTGTGTGGCCCATCTTCTCAGGACCTCACACGTTGCAACTTCCCTCCCTTCAATCGTCGACCTCCTCCTCTTCATGACCCTCCACTTGTAGAGATGCTCACATGCGGCTATGGAGACAGACAGCAGCAGACCCCCGACGAGAATGAAGAAGACGCCTGCCACGTTCGAAAGCTTCAACGAACTTGTCACTTCGAACTGTTAGCAAGAAATTTGGGTAATGTTTTGTGGTGGCTATTTTGTGGTGTTATTTTAATGATGATCTGGTTGGTGTGTGCGTGTGCGTGTGTGTGTAAATATTGATGGTGATTTGGATTGGTGTAGTTAATTTTTTGCGATGATGTATAACTATGACGTCTTTTTGGTGATTTAATTTTTGTTGGAATGAAGGATGTAAGAATCGAAAATTGGTTGAAATTCAAAGACATCAAACTTTTTTCGGCGTGCCTTCCTTCCCACACTCGCCCAAGTCATACCACCATTTGTTCTCCAGTGTTGTCAGTCTGCCCTTCTCCGTCAGTTCTAAAACTGCAAGTGTCAATCTGTCACTGCGTGTGATTGTTTGTGTGTGTGTGTGTGTTGTCTTTGTTTGTTTGTGTGTGTCGATATGTGTCCGTGTGTTTTGTGTGTGTGAGCGATTATTTGCGTGAGTGTGTGTTTTGTGTGTTTGAGTTTGTGTGCATATCTGTGCGGCTGAAGCGATGTTTTTTGAATTATTTATTATGCTATCAAATATTTCGCATCGTTAAGGCACGGAAATATTTTCTTAGAAAAGTTAAAAGTAGAACTTTGAATCAACCTCAATTTTTAAAACTTTAAGATCACTTCTAAAAAATTCCATCTCCTGAATAAATGATTCGTACTTTGACAATTTAATCACAAACATTTTCATCCGCTGAATCGTTTGTTATGCATCACTTTCGAACGTTTTAAAAAGTTTTGTCAGGATAACAAACCACCGAGTTGAAAGAACTGCATAATTCAAATCAAAACATCATAAATTAAAGTTTTTATTCTCTCAGACTGTGAGTATACCGAGGATGGAGAACATTCGCATATTGTTTGCAGGGTTCATTAATCAATTTCTTTTCCATTTAACGCTTGGCGAACGCTCCGGTCAACGTATAATATCGTTTGTACGTGCTGACGTGCTGAAGTTACTTAAGTTGAATTGAACGTACACCAAAACAGAATAAACTGACCGGATGAAAACAAAATGAAATAAATATAAATATGCGTCATAGTATTGAATGCGATGAATGTCAAAATGAAGAAATTCGATGAACGAATTCGAGTTGGATTGTGTTGGAATTTCCCTGCGGCATAGTTCAGGTTTGAAATATTTTTCAATAAATTTTTTTCAATCCCAGAGCTGGGAGTTAGTTGATGCTTCTGATGCGAATGTTTGATTTTGAAATATTAAATGTTAAAAATGTGGGATTGGTTTTGAAAATATGTTTGTGCTTGTTTATTTTGTAAAAATGCGATTCGTCTATATTTTCTTCCAACTAAACTATTGGCTATGCTATCGTGATACAATTAATAAATGTTGATCCTTGACAAGTTTAATTTTTTTAAATAAAACATGGCAAAATTATAAAGCTCTATTTTTTTAAATTATTCAGTTCAACAATGAGTAGTTGTTTGTGATAAATTTTTTTTTAGAAAAATTTCCACCTGAGATCCGATCCAATAGGAGTGCCTATACCATACCCCTTGGCATCGAGATTGCCCCCAACCTTCATGGTGTCACAGGGCTTGCGCTGGTTGGTGTACTCGTTCTGAGTGGACTCGGTGAGGAATGCATACTTTCCTTTCTTCTCTCTCACCAGGTTCACCCCTGCATCTGTAGTGTCAACGAAGACCCATGGTTCGGTGGACGACATGAAGGCCCACATCCGCTCGTACGTCGGAATCACGGATTTCTGGTAGTCATTTCAATTAAATTTATTTCTTTCAATGTTCATAATACCAACGTAGTTCGAAATGGAATTTTGAAAATTAAATTGGAAATGAAAAAAATAGGAATGACTCAAAACCTCGCAATTGATGGCAAATTTTTAATAACTGTAAGCTTCGTGTCAGCGCCAATATTCAATAAATCAGTTTCAAACTTGTCATCGTTCATGATAAATTTTGAAACTAATTTAATTTTCACTCTTAAACAATCTGAATAATATTTTTGATGGTCAAAAAGTTGCTGGCACAAACACAAACAAAGAGCAGGAAGAACATTCTAATATTCCGACATTGTTCATAATGTTTGAAGTATTTAAAAAGACTCTAATGTCAAGGTCATTGGTTGGTGCAGAAATTATTACAGCACGTTTTATCGAAACTAGGTCAATGAAAGATTAAAAGAAGAGATTCAAAATTGAAGATTATGTGGAAAGGTTTATTATTGAATATTTTCAAATAGGTATTGGTTTGTATTTGTTATAATTGTTTTTTGTTTGTTTACTTTTATTTTTTTTTGGTTTCAACCTATTTTCGTTTAAGGTGGTATACACGATTCGATGTGCTTTTGGAATACTTCATTAGAAAATTTATCAGATCAAACAAATTTTGAGACAAATTTTTTTGTAGTAATAAAGAGGAATAAATAATAGGAAAAATAATAAAAAAATAATTAGAATAAAAAATTGAACGAGATAAAAACATTCATTGTTATTATTAACAATTTAAATTTTCTTGCGTGTTTAAGCTTCATAACAAGTCATTTGATACCGGCTAACGACGATAATGCTAGAAACTTTTAATTAAAATTTTTCAGACTTTTAAAACTTTTGGTGAAAAATTTTTTCAAATCCTTTTTGCAGATTTTTAAAGTTGAAAAATTATTTTAATCGAATTACAAAGTGATTAGAAAATGATCCAACCCTAAAAAATTCTTGAGTCGACCCTCCATTAATAGTCCCATACTTGATTTCAGTTTGTTTGGCGAGATCTTCAGCGGACTCGATGGGTGACTGCATACGTTCCGAAGTGAGGAAGGCTGCCAGGTTGGCAGTGTATGACGAGATGAGGATGAGTGTGAAGAACCACCACACACTGCCTACTATGCGACCTGACATCGACCTTTGTGAAAAAGATGAAATATCATTTAGAAACAAATTGATTGTTTCATTGTGTGAATTTTTGTTTAAACTATAAAAAATATAACCTTGGCTCGATGTCGACCCCTTGCTGCATGAAGGCTCCCAGAGAGAACCACAAGCTGTTGAAAATGGTGAAGTTGTTGGCCACAGAGTCCTGCTTGTTGTCAACGTGCCACTCAAAGGGACTGAACCTGCTAACCAGAAAGAGGACGACACTGACTCCGATGTAGGCAAATATGATGCACATCCAGACTTCGTAGGACAGAGGATCCATGAAAGAGAAGACGTTCGGTGGTTTCTTAGACATTTTTTTGATCATGATGCTGATTCCAACTCCCATGAATGGCTTGGAAAAGTCGATGACGCTCTCACGATCTGCTGTTATCGTCAGTGGAGCGATAGCCAGATCGGCCTCCTGGTTGTTGTCAACACGAATGTGGAAGTTATTTAAACTTTCTACTATGATTGATGAATGAGTGGGAAATTAGTTAGTTCTTTAATGAATAAAAAAATTTCACTCTGAGTGAAGGAATAAATGAATAAATGAAACAACATTGAAAATATTATTAAGTATGATCAACAATTTTAAAAAATAGAAAATAATACTCCTAAAAAATAACAAAAAAGAAGAAACCAAATGAATAACTATATTTTGTTTGAATCGTTCAAATAGAAATTGCTAAAATCGTTACCCGAACAAACTTTCAATAAAAAGCGCATTGATTTAATTGTAATAAATAAATACACGACACCATTTTTTAAGATTTGCAAAATTCAAATTCTTTCATCAAATAATTTCTAAACTCTGATAACCTGAAAGAAAAAGAGCAATAAAATCCGTCATCCAAGCAAAGCAATATCATGGGAGCAATTTTTAGCGTGGGTTTAAAAAATACCTTATCATGACATCATCACGACAGCCAGGATCAATGAAGACAGGATCTTATTTGCATTTATATGATTTTCTTTTTTTCTCCAACTTTCTCTTTCTTTTTCTTTCTCTCTCTCTCTCTCTTTCTCTCTCTTTCACTATTTCGTGCACTCTCATATCACTCTCGCTTTCCATTTTTTCTGCCTTGCTGTCAAAAATCCACTGAGAGATGAGAAATCAGGTGTAAAAACATAAGAAAAATGAATGAAAGGTCGTAAAGGCAAAATCTGTAAAAAATTTAAGAGGGAGAGAGAGGAGAAAAAAAAGAGTAAAAAAGAGAGAAAGAGAGAAAAAAAATAAATAATAAGATTGCACCAAAGATGTTTTCGCAGAAATTTTCTATTATCTTACCGAATCTGCAGCGCATCCAATTCAATTATGCAAATGGGACACTGTTCATTTTTGCTCATTAACAGTTAGAGAATGAACCATAAAGACAGAAAAAGGGACAACCAACTTTCATTATTCTGATGAATCAAAAAGTGATTTGAGTACACTGCTAACAACGTTTTTTGCGCATGTAATATACCAAATCTCCTAAGAGTTTCTTTACTGTTTAGTGTTTAATATTTGCTAATAAATGCAAACACCTCCCTCCAATCAATAAATTAAAAATAAAGTTTTCATCAATATTATGAAAAAGTGGAAAATTTATTTATGATAATAAATAAATAAATGATTGAATAAATAAATATATTAGTTAATAAATAAATAAATTAATTAATTAGAACACGAATAAACAAAATAAAAACAAATAAACATTCGGCAGGGTTGAATTTGCATAGAACGATCGATACATCTTTACTAACCATCATCATCGTACATCACCATTACCATCATTACTAATTACATCACACACATCGTCATCATCACACACATCATCATCATCATCACACACATCATCATCATCCTCGTCGTCGTCTTCATCATCAAACAAAAACTTCATGCCAAATTTCAATCATTTTTTTTAACTTTTTTTTTGCAATACTATACACTTCAATGCTTTTGCGGCTTCAAAAATTTTGTAGCAAAAATTATTTGAAGATACGAAAGAAAATGTACAAACATGTACGATGTACTGTACGTCACACAGAATTTCAAACATAACCGGCTTGACCTACATGCATACTTACAGCCAGATATTTCTCAACTTCGTATGTCACAGACCGGCATATGTTACAGATGTATATAAATTTAAATTAAGAAAAAACAAGTGAAAAAAAAAAAGAAATCTACGTAATAAACATCCTTTTTAACTATTTTTTAGAAATTCCCCATTATCCCAATCACATCCCAATCCCAGTCAACTTACCCCCCTCAACAGTTCTCCCACCATTCCGTCCCACGATCCAGAACTGTTACTGCCATATTTGTTATCTTTGACGGGCTTGATGACGTACTTGAATCTCAGGATTTCTGCAACCTCTTGCGTCAGATCAACGCAGTATCCTTCAAAGTTATCCTGTTGTTGTTGCAGTTGATCCGCTTCCGCTTTTGCGTCCTTCTTGAGCATCAGAAATGGAGCGGACTGGTGGATACACAGAATATTTTTAACATCATATTTTCGTAATTTTTTTTATTTAATTATGAATTAAATTTTTTTTACTTTTTGCAAGTTCAAAATATTATTGAATATGTAAAAAATTATATATCGTGCAGAATTTATTAAAAAGTTGTGCTCAGCCAAATTCACGTTAATAATAATAAATAGTTGGTTCTGCAATCATGGATGCAGTCGTTTTTGTAACTCTCAGGAAGGCAGGCAGACCAAGCAATTTCAACGTCAGCTCCTCATGCAACGTCGTCTGACGAATGAAATTTTTTTTTTAGAAAAGAGAAATTAATCTCTGAAATAATTTTTCAACTTGGAAAAATAATGATGGAGGAGTGGAGTGAAAGAATTATTTCAGCCTTTATTAGGATTTTTTTTTCATTCTTTCAAACTCGACATGACATAAGAGATCATTATTTACGCCGTGCCAGCTCACCACGCCTCATGTCGATGGCGTTTCAAAGACACAGAACAAGATCGCACGTATTTGCACGAGCATATAAACACACAGACACACACGCACACACAGACACACTCGCACACATGAACATAAATCTAACTCCAAACGTATAGGCCTGTTGCATTTATGATGACAAATCATAAAAGTCTCATAAATCTCATGAAAATATTTATAAAACCTTCAGCTGAGATCGTAAAGCGTTTTATCATAATTTAATAGGAACAACATCAACAGCAACAACGCTAGCTAGAGTAGTGTTTCAACAAAACACAACAATAATAATCATCAGGTGATTTTTTTTAACAAAACCGAAATAATCCCTAACCTAATATATTAGCAAAATGTTTTTTCGAATTAATTTTCATAATTTTTTTAATTTAAATGTGAAACTTCTACCAAATAAAGCAAAGTATTTAATTGTGTTGTTTAAAATCACATCACATGTCTGCAATAGACGCTGCATTGTTAACACTGCTCGTATAAATTCACAGGACCATTGACACGAAAATCGAAGAAAAAACTGACTGTTGGCAAGTAATATTTACAGGAGGAGGAAATAATTTTTTGAAAAATTGTCAATAAATGTGTGAGAAATGAGATTTTTATTTAATCTTTAAAAGTTATGTGTACGAGTTTTCATTTTAAGAAGATGTGACGGCCTACTGGTTAAGGACGTCTGGTTCTGCCTTCAAATGTCTGGGTTCGATTATTTACAGAGATTGTCGATCATATGTAAATGTGACTGGTGAGTGGTTTTACGCTTGTTTGCAAACAAAAATTCCGAAACATGACGTATTAAATCATTCCTGTTTTGCATTTAAGTCCTGTGGTGTGAATGTAAAGATACGTATGCAGTTTTGCTGCGTAATGAAGAAGCAAATATGTTTCACATGAAAAGCTGGAACTGCATTACATTTGTGTGTGTGTGTACGCGTATATATATATATATATGTATGTGTGTGTGTGAGTGTATACGTTTGTCTGTGTACATAATTTCATATACAATAAAATAACTTTCATTTTTGTTCATTTTAAAAATTAAATTTGTAGTAGTGACGAAAAGTCACTGTGATAATTTTACCTTGCTTTCAAATTTCTGGCACTACGGAATCATTAATGAGACTATATCGTGTGTGTGCGTGTGTGTGTATGTATGTGTGTGTGCGCGTGTGTGTGCATGCACGTATGTGTGTGTGCGCGTGTGTGTGCATGCACGTATGTGTGTGTGCGCGTGTGTGTATTAGATGTTGGAATTTAATATTGAAAAAGCAGATTTGAAAAATTTAATTTAAAAAAATGAAAAAAGATGAATTTTTGTGAGGATTTTTTTCGCAGCAACAAAATTCAATATGTAAATTGTCGTTGGTCAGTGGCTGAGAAAAACAACAGTTACTGTTTCAATTGTCGTCGTGTTTTTTACCTGTTGCATATTGTTGTTCTTATTTTTTTAAGGTTTATTGATGTTATGGGTATGGCTAGTGAGGTGATTTGTTTTGAATTTCACATTATGTCGTTGTTTGATATGTATTTAATGTTATTGGTTTCAGTGATACTTTCTCTAATTTAGCTATGGTTTAATGTTGTTACTTTGAGTGTTTTGTTGCTGGTTTCAATATGTTTGTTGATTTTAATGTGTAGTTTGTTGTTGTTGTTTATAAAGTAAATAATTTTTTGAGATGTCGATTGTGTTTGTGTTCCTAATGGCTGCAAGTGATCTAACTTTGGGCAGTGAAATTTGTTCAAATTTTTTTACTGTAGTACAATTTTTCCATGGTAATTTTTGCATTTCTCGTAACATTTCTCCATAGCAAATGATTGAAAATTTTTCAATTACATTTCCAACAACGTACAACTGTTTATCAATGATTCATTCATTTTAGCTACATTCACATAGCAAATTAGGCGTTATAAAAATGAAACGCAATAACAGATATTGACTTTAAAATTAAAAAAAAAAACAAAAATATAGAATCGCAGCAGTCGTCTATGTAGAATTCAATAAAGAATATTTGTTGGCACTTTCACGCGTCTCATGACGTTTCAAAGTTCGTACATTCTCGTTGTCGGACATCACACAACTCCATCATGTAAGTTGAAACTGTCCGGACTGACTGACTTCGTTTCAATGCGAAATCGTGATGAATCAACATCCACATTAATTTTATATACATACACATATACCTTTTTCACAAACACTTATTTCTTTCACATACATCCATTCGTTCTATGCACAGACATCCATTCCAAGCACATCCATCCACACACATTCTTATCCATTTATCTTATGGAAGCCATCTTACAAATCCTTTCTTGGCATTAATTCGCTGGGCTGACGTTTTTGTTTGTGGCATAATGTTTTATTATGGCTCGCTTCGAATATACATTTACTTTAATTTATTATTTAAACCACAAAAACAACTTTGGAAACATCAGCATAGAAAAAGCAGTTGTGATAATATCCACAATCATTATTTAAAAATCATTTCAACAACAACACAAATATAGAAAATATGGATGGTAATAGAACGGACAACAAACTGACTAACAAAATAGACCAACAAAAGCAAAACAAAAACAAATACAATAAACACTAATTCGTGTATTCATTTCATATTCAATAAACAAACTTATACAAACATCTAAGCAAACAAAACTATTGCAGAGGGAATGGATAAATCTTCCTATCATCTAGCACTGCATAAACTAGATGCTATCTTGGAAATGTAATTACATTACGAAGCCACATTCCTATGGACAAGTATATTGGCCTCCGAAGGCGTTCAAATCATCAGAGGAATGGTTGGAAGGTATTTTTTCTACAATAAATTTATTTTTTAATTAAATGTTGTCGGCTAGCAAAAATATTTTGAAGATTTTCTTTATTACATAGAAAAAAGCGTATTCTTAGTTATTATCACACTTGAAACGGACTACCTTTAAAAATGCCAATTGAAACTTTAAATCCACTAATATTGTTTATTTCATTTAAGTAAATTGCAAAAAATATTATATATTATGACGACAAAAAAATAATGTTTATGGTTTATGTTGTTTTTTTGTAAAAGTTTTTTTCGTTAATGTCGTTTCATAGTCATCCCACTCAGCCAAAATCTCAAAATTTTCAACCGCGCTAACTAAACTTTTAAATTTGATCAGCTGGTTTACTGTTAGAAACTGCAGATACATGGTGTTAAATTCACTACATTTAAGCCTCCTAACTTAATTTAGATCGGGAGGACCTATTTTATTGATTACCTAATATTTTGAAAAAAATCTGCCACAAAAGTTCATTGGTTGTTAAAATGTTTTGGAGAACGATGAATTTTGTATAATGGTATTTTATTGTCAATGTGTATGATATGAATACAATGAAAATCACTCAAATCTGAAAAGATACACAACACACACACGCGCACACGCACACATACACACATGCATACACGTAAACACACACATTCACACACACATACGTGTAAGCAAACATTAATTAGACTATTTTTATATATAGCATGTTGTTGGGCATGTTTTCGTTTGGTTCTGTTGTTGTTGTTTAGATAATTTCGCGCCAAAAAAACAAATAAAAGACTTGAAAAGACAGTAAATTAAGGGGGAGTGGTGTGGTGCATTTAGGCAACAAAGCACACACACACAACGTAAACAACGCCAGAAAAATTGTGTGTGTGTGTGTGTGTGTGTGAGTGTGTGTGTGTGTGTGCATGGTGTAAGAGATGAATGTTTTGGAGATGGGATGTGAAATTATGTGGTGAGATTATGTGGTGGGGTGTGGTGTGGAGGAGTGGTAAGTTTGAAAGTTTTTTGATTTTCTGCTTCGAGAATGAACGAACAAATGATGTTTTATTTGTATAGAGATAAAGCTTTTAAGACTTGCCATAACAATGTGTCTCCACAAACATGTACAAATCAATAAAACTTGAAACAAATACAAAAATATGTAATAAAATGCAGCCTCAACTAACAAATTATCGCAAAAATTATGCCCAGCGCGCAAAAATCCATTTCTAAAAGCTTACCTCCCTACCTGAGTGCTAAAGAATTTCATCCTACCATAGAACTTACTAGAAAGTTGTAAATGCAGAGAGACAAACAACAGTAGAGTATGAAATAAAGTTTGAATTGTTATTTGCAATAGAGAAAAATCACTCTACAAAACATGCTTCTATTTAAATTGTTTTAAAAAAACTTTTCCAAGAGACACAATGCATAATGGATTGGATGGCTTGTTGGGCAAGTAAATTTCTAACGGAACGTACTGAGATGCAATACATCACTGCTCCATAATCATAAATTAGTCATTTAAAAATTGAACCTTTGCTCATTACATATTCATCCGATAAAATGAAAATAAATTTTATTTTATTCAAATTTGGGAATTTATGAAGGAAATACGATGAACAGACAAAATAGCGGTGAATGAATGAGCGAGTGAACCAGCGAACGAACAATTAAAAAACAAATGAATGAATAAACGAAAGAACAAACAAACAGATAGCTG